ATATGTTTAATAAATAAGATTTGTTGTAATTAATGATGAAAATGAATAAAAAACAAGAAATTAGAAAGGGAATTAATTCAGCTCACTGGGTTGTTGACCAAGCTAACATTTTTTTTTTGCAACAAAGTTATTTAAATTGAATGTCTTAGGAACCTGTTGATGAGTTAATGAAAGTGTTATTGATCAAAAAAAAAAAAAGTCTTAGGAACCTGTTTGTGTGATAGGTCAATCAATCTGACTATTAGGTTCAACTACATGTTAAAATTGCCATGCACAGCCAGTGTGGATAACGAATCTACCACCAATTATCATTTTTATCATCATCATCATTATCATCTAAAACTGTCATGTGCACATTTTCTAGTTGTTTATGTGAAGAAAAAATTTTAGTTGTTCGCATTCAACAGCCTTGTACTGTGTCTTCAAGGCTCTTCTGTAAGACACGTCAGTCCATATGAACTCCATATAATAGTAATAATGCTTGAGCCATGATTGCATGAACTAATGTGTGAGGTGGATAAAATTGTAGACAACATAAGACTGTCCAAGATAGATAGCCAAAGTTTTCTTGGGGTGGGAAGGATTTGTAAGATGTATTTTGTAATGCCTCGTTTTGAAAAACCAGAACCAATCCAATCGATTTGGGTCCATGGGCTTGGATCGAACCCAACCCATTGATAGCCCTAAGGTTAAGTTGGGCCTCGGCAGCCTTAAACAACGTTAATACATTGTCAAAGCTCAACTTGGGACCAACCCATGATCATCCCATATATATTGGCAAGTCCATCATGCCAAGAAGGTATAAACATCAAAAGAGCTTTAAACAATCAAAACACACTACGAATTTTGGTGAGCCACTTTATTGGTTACCACTTGTATGACATTGGTTGATTGTTTATACATTTTTTTCCGGTATCTCTATCTCTCTCTCTCTCACACACACATACCATGAGTCCCCATATTATGTGTTATGTAATACAAAATAGGGTAAACCATAGACCTACCCTGTACTCCCGGAGTAGTGACACTTAGGTCCCCAAGCTTTCATTTCCTATAAGGAACTACCCTATACTTTTATAAGATTCCAACACTATACTCCTACTGTTTGTATTCTATTAGTTGACTTCAAAAAATATTCTCATATGACCATCATATGCGTGTTTAAATATTTTCTAAGCCCCTAACTATCATTGTATCATTTTATGAGACCATCTTCCCCGTATGTTATTTATAAATCATCTCTTATGGTTGTTATTTTCTTTGTAAAATATAGATGCTATAACTACATCAACTATGGATACAATAAATTTGAAGTGTCAAAATATGTGTTAAACTGGAGTTCAAATCATCCCCCCACAACGTCCCACATCACATTCCCGCCATGTATTAAGAACATCTCCGATGATAATACCAGGAATGATGATGTCATCATTGGGAGATGTTCCCAATACACATCAAGAATGTGCTGTGGAACGTTGTGGGGGACAGTCTTGTGGGGGTCTGATTCTGTCTCGTTAAACTGTGACTTTTGATTGTAGAATGATAGTTTGAATAGGTGCCTGCAATTTAGAATTGGTTTAGTAAAGAGAATATAAGTGCAACAAACTGATAATGAATAGAGAGTAAAGAGAAAAAGAGTACACCATATTAATAGAAGTTCGACTATTTCAAGAAAATCTGCTTGATAATTTTAATCCACTGTAACAGTCAACAAGTACAACAGTTGGTGGATACAGTGCCAACATCTTAGACCACTATTTCAGTCCCCTGAAGTAGTCTTATACTCCTACTAGTTTGATGCAGTGCTAGCACACTCCAAGAGCTCTTTAGCCCTTTGTAATCTTCACAACTTTTTTCAGAGGATGTTTACAAGAAGAACAATCAAAACCCCACTGAATAGATGTATCAATACAGCTCAAAGATTCAAATCAAATCCAACAACTAGGGCTTCAAAGATTTTATCTCAAAATTTTCCTTCTTATCTTCCTCTTATTTGTTTTTTAAAATTTGAACCTCTTAATATCTTTGGTTTAACTTGAGCTTTTATAGAAATGACCTTAGTATAATCATTTGAAATAAGGTCAGAAACATTAAATGCTTTTTAGACCATTTAAAACAAAGCAATAAATACGAATTACAATATTTTAAAGGGTAAATTATAGAATCTTCCCTTGAGTTTTTTGGCAATCCTACAAACATCCCCTAAGTTTTGATCCTAACCAAAACCTCTTCCCCCAAGGTTTTAAGAAAATGTACAAATACCTCCCTTGGTTTTTTTACCCTATTTTAAAAAAACAAAGTAATTGCCTAGAGGATGCCTCCCCATTTGTTTGGAGATGACTCCTTAAGGTCCAAGCCCAATCCTGGGTTTCCAAGGGTGATTTCCCTATTGCCTTGCCTGGGGATGTCCAATCATCCTCATTTCCTAGTGTTGTTTCCTGAGCCTCTACTGAATTTGATTTTTGATAGTCTCTGACCATTTCTCTTTATATTAAGTATAAGCTCATTCTAACATGTTCTGTGGTCAATATGCTTCAAATGACTTACCCTAAGGTCCAATCTAAGTTGCAACAGCGGTGGCGGGAAGACAGGGGGAGAGAGAGAGAGAACAGGGTATATTTTTGACTCTAGGTCACGTCTGAAATGCGTCTAAACACGTTAAGTGACGGGCCTGAGTCTTAAAATTTCAGATCTAAAAAAACTTTTCAGATCATATTTCAAATAATGCAACACCATATAAGCATTGTATATGAAAAAACATATATTTCTGACTTCAGATGTTTGAAGTGTTATCAAACACCACCTAAATGCCTATTCTAAACACTTTTCCTTGACCAAGGAGCAACACCCATCTTTGTTCCTTTGCAAGCCAATTAAATGAGAACAATTTGAAATCCTTGTATTTTATTAGGTTGCAAGACTTAAAACATTTTATTAGTATTAACTACTCATAGTGAGTTTGTTAACATAAAAACACACATGGCATTAATCCAAAGTTAACAATATAAAAACAAGATTTTCAAAAAAAAAATTGAAAATACAAAAAGGTTGTACATCACATGGGTCCCAACTAGTAATATCCTTAATATTGAACATGGAAAACGTTCCTAAATCCTTTTCTAACTAAAATATTTCAGTTATTAA